TTACAAATTTTTCAATCGAATCTCATTGACATCTACATTCAAAACACACTAATTCAACTAGGAGCAAAAGAAATAAAAAAAAAAATAAAAAAAAATACAAAAGTTAAGAGCAACAAAAACTTCTAATGAGCATTCTTTGACATTTCAACTCCCAATTCAACAATGCTCGTTCGTTGACATTTCAACTCTAACTTTTTACAAATTTCTTACAGCAGTAGCACTCCAACAACAGCAGCATTCCAACAATAGTAGTGCTCTAGCAACAAAACCTACACAAGGATAATAAAGATCAAAGAAAAAGATGAATATTGGGTCCGATACGAGCTCACCAACCTATCATTAGTGCTAAATGTAGACTCAGAAGCAATAGTGGATACCAGAATAACTAAAAAATCCTAGCTATTGTCTGTAAGGTTGAATATTTTGATGCATTTGATTTCCACCAAGTCAACACATCAAAATTGGGGGTACTTGTTACAAAATCCTCTTCTAAATAATGGTCCAACTCTGATATTACATTGTTGATTTTTTTTTTCTTTGCTTTTTACTAATAAACAAATCATAATCTGAAACTACCTTTGAATCCCCAAAATATGAACTCATAGAAGATTCAACATTAGCATCAGTCCCCAAACTAAGTTTTCTTTGATAATCTTGCAACAAATCATAACAAAGTTAGAAAATCTTCGCAATTTCCTCTTCATCTATATCTCCATAAAATTTATCAAAATAAAACTCCAACACACTAAGTTTGTACTTAGGATCAAGTACTACAGCAACTCCTATAAGACCATGTATACCAACCCAATAATTATCAAACTTTCCCAATATTTTTTATGCCATTGATCTAACCACCTCAATTGAACAAGAGAGCCATTGAGAGATGGTTATTCTAATCTCACATAAATTTGGAAAAGCAACATTGGTCATGGGATATTTAGTTCTAGAAAACAAGTCAGTTGCTTTATAAAATATCTTGAACCTCCTACAAATTTCTTTAGCAAACTCCTATCCCTCCTCACTTGGCAATGTTATATATTGGGTGTTTTTATATTTCAAGCGGTAAAATACATCCTTATACAATAAGGCAGTTTGAAACATCAAGTATGTTGAATTCCACCTAGTTGTACAATCAAGTCCTATCTTTTTAGTATTCAATTTTTTTACTTGATGAGTTATTTTTTCAAATTTTTTTACTCTTTTAGGAGTTACTGTCCAATAAGTTACACTATCCTGAATTTTCTCTACACCTACTCTTATTACATCCAATCCATCTTTGATAATCAAATTGAGAATATGTGCGTAACAATACATATGAAACAAAGTTCCACCCAAAATAAGAGAACTACTATCTAATTTATCCAACAAAATGTTAATCATCACATCATTGGTGGAACAATTATCAACAGTGATAGCAGATACTTTTCTATCAAGATCCCAATCCATCAAACAATTGAGCAAAGTATCACGAAGAACTTCTTTTGTGTGTGGATATGGAACATAAATGAACCTAAAATCATAAATTAAAACAAAATTTTGATCAACAAAACATTATGAATAGCTTCCATTATAATTTTTCAACACCAAAAGCATATCAAGACATGTTTTTAATAGAATGCATATAATCTAAGATGCAACAACAACCTGTAATAAAGCATAGATTAATTTATGTGCAAAAATATACCTCAAAATATGGCTTTGCAATGACCAAGAATCATTAATAAAGTGTGTCGGGACCGCCATGAACATATCAGTTTTGATTATTAGAAGTCCACATATTAGTTGTGAGTGCCACTTTACTTTGATTGCTCTATACCAATCTCATTATCTTCTCCTTCTCATTGTCATAGATCTTCAAAATATCACTTTTTATTGTGTTTCGAGAATGTACTTTAAACAATGGTTGAAGTGCTATCAAATATCTTTTAAACCCAATATGATCCATAATAGACAAAGGGTATTCATGCAAGATTATGGCATTTGAAAGCTCTCTCCTAGCAATATCTTCATTAAAACTATAAGAGACTTTTGGACTCTCATTGTTAAAGTTGCTAGTTAAAACTCTTTGCCTCATGTCCATTCCCTTCTATTTCTTAAGACATCTCTCTCTCTCTCTAGGTTGAGTTTTAACTCAGTGAGTTTATCTCTCTCTCTCTCTCTCTCTTTCTCTCTAGGTTGAGTTTTAACTCAGTGAGTTTATCTCACTTTGATGAATGCTCTTTCTCTCTAGGTTGAGTTTTAACTCAAAATGTTGGTGAGTTTGCACCAGTGCAATCTAATGTAGTGGACTCTACTTGATTTCTAGAATTTTATTTAGTCTTGAAGCATCAATAGCTTTGAATTTTCTATGTGTTCGCATCACATAACAAACTTGTTGTAGTAGAGATTTTCTACTTTTTTTCAATTTTTTGAACAGTTTAGTTGATTTTTTGAACACTTTAGATTGGTGTAGTTATCGGTTTGAACAGATAAACAATAGATTGAACATTTGAACATATTGTTTTTGTTGATCCAGAGCGTGTGCTCTCTCTTTCTCTCTCTTCTAGAATCTTTCTCTCAACATTCACAGATATGTAGCATGAGAACACAGATCGAGTTTCAAATCTGTTATCGAAACCCTAGTTTCAAAGCAAGCCAACCATGGAAGCCAAACATTAATCCTGTTGTTGTTGTTGTTGTTGTTGTTGTTGTTTTATTTTTATTTTTTGTTTCCCTCTTTGGTCACTAGGTTTGTGTTAGACAGATAGAGGAAATATATTGTTTGGTATGTGATGTTTATGAATCCATATATGTTGTGTATGTATGTATGTTTAGGAATGGCAACGGGACGGGGCGGGGTGGGGCCGGAGATCACCCTCCCCATCCCTGATCCCCAAGGTTGAAATCTTTCCCGTCTCGGGCCTCGATCCTCGATGGGGAACTTATCATCGTCCCCGTCCCCGTCCCCTATCGGGGATCGAGTTTCCTCGACCCCGAAAACTCCTTAGTAAATCGGGGATCGGGTTTCCTCGACCCCGAAAACTCCTTAGTAAAAAAAAAAAAAAAAATAGCAACACAAATCATCATCAACAACATCAATAAATCTCAAATTAACAAAATCATCAACAAAATATCAACATCAACAAATCTCAGATTCGCGGTGATAGATGATGGAGGAGGTGGAGCAGCAACAATAGATCTCAGATCGGCGGCGATGGATGACGGAGGAGGTAGAGCGTCAACAACAGATTGTAGATCAGCGACGATGGACGATGGAGGAGGTGGAGCGGTGGTGCGAGGTGGACAGAGGTGGAGGAGATGTGTGGAGTGACAAGGTGGACTGAGATGCAAAATCGACGGAGGTGGGAGCTGGACGCGACTCCGGCGTCGCGGACAGCGGCGATGGCACTAAGGAGAAGACGTTGCGGACAACGGTGGTGAGGAGAAGAGGTGCGAGAGTGAGAGTCAGTGAGAGCGAGAGAGAGAGAGAGAGAGAGTAGATGAGAGAAAGAGACAGACAGACAGACAGAGGAGGGGTTCAGTTAAGTGTAATACGGCCTTGAGGCTATATATATATATATATATATATATATATATGAATGGAGGATTGAGGGGTATGATAGTAATTTTATTTTAGGGGAAAATGGGGACACGGGGACCGGGAAGGGTCGGGGTTGAAAAACGTATCACCGTCCTCGGCCCGAAAATCATCGGGGATTCAATTTCGAATACCATTCCTGACTCGTCTAGGGTATTTTTTGGGGAAAAATCACTCTAATCGAGGTTGGGGGAGCGGGTCCCTGTCGGGCCGGTTTTAAATTGTCATCTCTATGTATGTTATATTGAGAGCTGGAGAGAGAGAAGTTGGAAATCTTTAACAGATAAAAAAAATGTTCTTTGGCTAAAATCTTCAAAGAATTGAGAATAGATATAATGAAATCTTCAAAAGCATTGGAACACATATAATTTTATTTGGACAAAATATTTAAATAGATAAGGAAAATTTGAATTGAAAAGATTAAAAAATTAAATAAATAGAAAAAAAAATTGAACATATAGGGAAAATTTTGAATAGATTGGCAAAAATTTGAACAGATAGGCAAAACATAAGCAAAATTTTGAACAGATAGAGAGATTTTTTGAATATATTGAAAAAAATTTGAATAGATAGTCAATGAAAGTCAACAGATAAAAATAGTCAACAGATAAATTAAAGGATAAAATTAGAAACAAAATTTCTTTCAAAACAAATAAAAGGATTTCTCACTAAACTATTTGACAAAGAGTGGACCTCTCACTAACAAAAAAATGTCTACTAAACTTAATACCTTACAACCTTCTTGGATTGGATTTATCATCAATTTACTCAAAAATTAATCATTATGGTTCAAAGAAAAAAAAAATTAATTGTTTTTATTAAAAAGAGAATAGCTTATATCCAGTTAAAATTTTAATTGGATCAGGCAATCGAGGTCTTTGAAATGAAAAGAGTTAATTTGATCGATAAGAATCATTCAACGAAAGACGCTTACCAATTGAGTCATATTTTTATAAAATCTTATCGTTCGTCTAATGGCTCTTATCGACCAAAATTTTAATTTTTAAGGAGTTGTTTGGGATGTCTTAAATAAGTGCACTTTTTGACTTTTTAGACTAAAAAGTTGAGGAAGAAAATATAGTTGCTTGGGTTAACTTTTTGACTTTTTATAGAAAAATATGTATTAAAAAATTATATGAATTAGTGTATAGAAAAAAATTAAGATTGAGAGTTGTGTAATTATATTTTTTAATTTTTAATAAATAGTGATAATTTTTTAACTTTTTAAATAATTTTTTAATTTTTTTATCGCGTGCCAAATTTAACTTTCATCCGTAGACAAGTTAAATCTTATTAAATATAATATGTAAAAAAAAGTTCTTTAAATTATAATCCACGTATTAATCATTGTAGGCCAGTAGACGACAAAACCACGAATTACACTACGCCGTATGATCTTGGTTACGCAAATGCCTTGTCCCCCGCTATCACCGCCCATCCAAATTCCGTTATTCGCTCCCTCTCTCTGTCGATCGAGCTTTCGATACGACGGAAAAGAAAAGAAAAGAAAAAAAAGCAATCACAAAAAACGGTCTCCAAAGTTCGACTCTTTTAAATGCTTCTTCTTCCTGATCAACCCCCGAAAACGGCCCCCTCAATGTACACCTATACACACACTCTCTCTCAACTTTCTCTCTCTCTATATGTATTGTTTGTATCTACATTTGATCTGAATTTGGCTCTGTAGATTTGAATTGCTGGAGGGAGAAGACTCAGAGGTTGTTCCAAACAAGCCATGGCGAAGAAGACCTCACTGCCTCCGCCAATCTCCAAACGCAAATTGTTATGGTTCAGTTGGAAGCTCGTGATCGCTCTCTCAATCTCTCTCTGCGTCTTGGCTCTTCTTCGACTCCAACACTACTCTCAATCCCAACTTTCTTTTCCATCTTCTTCTTCTTCTTTGGTGGTTCGTAGATCTCGAATTTTGAATAGCCAATTCGAAGGACCTCCGAAGGTGGCGTTTCTGTTCCTCACGCGTCGGAACCTGCCTCTCGATGTCCTCTGGGGGTGCTTCTTCGAGGTTTTGTCTCATTTTCTCGACAATTTTCGTGGTAAAAGTACTTGAGTAGGAAATTTTTTGAGGTTTTTGTGATGATTTTGGGTGTTGGAGTTTGCAGAATGCTGATGTTGGTAATTTCTCAATATATATTCATTCCGAGCCTGGTTTTGTGTTTGACGAATCGACGACGAGGTCGGCCTTCTTCTATAATCGGCAGTTAACTAATATGATTAAGGTAATTAAAGTTTCAATCTACTGCAATTGGAAAAGAAATATAGTTTTTTTTTTTTGGGGAGCTCAATTATGGTTTTTTTGGTTGCTGAGAAAAATAGAGGAAAATTAAAAGAAAATTGCATAATTTATATTTTGTTAAACTATTTCATATTTTCATATATATTTTGCTAGGTATCAGCTTAGCAAAGTTTGTAATTACTTCTATTTTTCTTTAGGGTTATTTACACGAACACCATCTAAAGTAAACGATTAAGAAGTATCACTTTTAACCCTTAAACTGTAAATATGTACAAATAGACTCCTAAACTATTAATTCATATCACTTTGACTTCCTAAACTATAAAGGTGCACAAATAGTCCCCTTAAAGTATAAAAAATGTACAAATTGGACCCTAACTAAAGGGGTCAAAGTGAAACACGCCAATACATTAGGAGGTCCATTTGTACATTTTTATAGTTTAAGGGGCAAAACAATACTTTTCAATAGCTTGGGGGGTCCATTTGCATGCTTTCATAGTTTAGGGGTTAAAGTGATACTTTTCAATAGTTTAGGGGTCCCCATGTAAATAACCCTTTCCTTTATTTGGTTTCAGATGATAAAAAAACAGACTTTTAACTTTAATTTGGACTCTCTTTTGTTTTTCCTCCCTTTTCTTGGCAAACTGAGTGTTTGTAACCTATTTGTTCTGTTTTTATGTTTTCTGTTGTTGCTTTTGTTGTTGTTGTTCTTGAAGCCTAATTTGGGTGGTGGTGTTGCAGGTTGCATGGGGAGAAGCAAGTATGATTCAAGCTGAGAGGTTATTACTTGGAGCAGCTCTTGAAGATCCGGCAAATCAGAGATTCGTTCTCCTGTCTGATAGGTTGGTATAATTATCATGGAAACAACTGAATTTGTTTATTTGTCACATGTGTCATGGTAATATGATTTGACATATATTTTTATCATTGATGGTTGAATAGCTCTAAAATGCATGTCATTTGTATCTATCAGAGTGAATTCTATTCCACATATGGTGTTTCATATCTATGACAACATTGGAAATCATAGATAGTGCAGTTCTAGATGACATTGTTATGCTTTTGAACATTAATTTGACAGTATTTGATACAGTAAATCTCAGTCCATGATGCAGGAGGCTTGGGTTAATGTTGTTGGATTTTGTTTAAAGCACCTACATTTGATTGGAAATGGTCCAATAAGTAAAACTCATAACCTAGTTGTGACCTAAGCTGATTTTTGACTAAATTCTTCATTTGGGCTTCGAAATCGGGTTTTTACCATTCTAGGAACCATTGTTTTTAATGTTTTAGGAACAATTGTTTTTATCATTTTAGGAAATAATTGTTTATGTTTTGCTTACAAATTTTGTTTTTAGTGTCCGTTGGTTTTCTGCTTCTTCACGTCTCCTGTGCATCATTTGGTATCATATCTTGTGCTTGTATCTTGATCATGACTTGTTGGGGAGTTTGTGGTGGTCGACATGCCGCTGCTGAAGATCAAGGAAGCACGGGTGCGGGTACGAGTACGGTACGGGTACGAGTGCGGGTACGTCGATTCGGCAAAACTCAAAAGAAGTACGATACGGGTACGGCTACGGTACGCCGATATTTTTTTATTTTTTTTTAAAATATAATTTTGATTAAAGGATCCAACCTACAAATTAAAATTAAATATCAAAACTAAAAAAAGAACTACTCATTTTCCTATAATTTAAAACCATTAAGCGTTAAAAATAATATTTGTGAAATCTCTCACTTTGATATGTTATGCACTGTGAATTTGTGATCATAATTTATTTTTAAAATCTTTCTTTTTGCTCATCAATTTGCTATTTTTATAGGGTGAGACCAAAGAAATAACAGAAGACCAAAGAAAGATTTAAAGTTAATTACCAACAATAAAGGAAAAAAATTATCAATTGGTGCAGGTTGTCAATTGCAATTTGCATAATATATAAAATTGCATCATTCCCAACAACTACTAATCAACTAATACAGTATCAATTTTTAATGTTTTGTGCATAAACTTTAAAAGTTTGTTATGATTAAAGATTTTATAAAGAGATTCTAGGAGGATCTAAAGCAAAAGCATAATGCATAGTCATACACAGAACTACCCTTTATAGGCCTTGTTATTTTTTTTGGTTCAAATTGCTTTTTAAAAACATTAAAATCATTTGTTGATATGCTTCTACAATTTATACAGACAAACAGGACAACAGAGAAACATCAAAATTACTGATCTGCAAGGGCACCAAAAAAAATAAAAAATAATAATAATAATTGCTAATTTGCAAGGGCAGGAAAAAAAAAAAAAAAAAAAGGCCTTGGCGTACCCATGGCGTACCCACGCCGTACCCATGGCGTACTCGTGGCGTACCCATGCCGTACCCGAATAAGCCAAACGTACCGGACCCTCTTTTGCCGTACCCGGTACGCGTACCGCCGTACCGGTACGCGTACCCGCACCCGGTAAGTACCCGGTACTCGTACAGCACTATTTTTGGAGTACCCGTGCTTCATAGCTGAAGATGTATAGGGGTTGTGATGCAGTTTCTCTGTTTGCACAACTGGAGGAGTGATTTCAACTATCCGAAGATCAGTTTGATGCCCTTGCACAATAGCTCGCCACTTTGATGGTTGCTAATCAATCTCGCAACCGTCCACTGAACTCGCATCCTTAAGAGGTAGAGGATACAATTGGGTGACCATTTATATGAAAAAAAAATACTCCAGATGCAATTGTGGATTGGACTAAGCCGCTACTTTTCGATACTGAACCACCTGTTGAAGAAAAAACTAAAATTAAAAATTGCGAAAGAAGATATACCTTGATATCATCTAGTGGAAACAGGGAGAACAACATGGTAGACAAGGTAAGTGATGCGAAAACTTCTAACTTGATGAATATGACATCAAAAGCAGATCAATTTGACATTCATATGCTTTGGGAAACAAAAAGATTGGTGAACTAGGTGATTACACATTTTTTGTTTACATCATCTTAAGAAGATCCATTATATTTTATGGGTTTCAATATTTTTTTTCATCGTGATTCATCAAAAGGTTAATTATGGGTCAATGTCAATGTATACTGACTTGATGGGCTGATTGGATGGAAATTGTGACAAGAGTTAGAAAGTTCAAAATGCATCATTGGAATCCAAAGATTAGTCCAAGCATGAAGATTGGAATACATGGGAGGAATGCAAGTATTAGAGATATTGGATGTCTCACTTTCAAAATTTGAGGAAGAATTCTTTTCAAGCGAAAGAGAATGATGTAGGAGACTTGGGCTAATGCTGTCAGATTTGCTTCAAAACACCTATATTCGATTGGAAAAAACTCAATGAGAAAAACTCAAAGCATAGTTGTGACCTAAGAAGCATGGACACTTCTATAGAGGGAATAATTGAAGTGAATCATGGAGAGAGAGGATACACATACTAAATCAAAATAAATGAAAAAAAGCTAACCTTTTATTTCTTATTTATTGGACTTAAGCTTCCTTTTAGCTTCCATAAACTACTATGAATTACAGAAAGGGTTGATGGAGGTTCTTCGGAGTTGGGGTGGAGGTGGGGGTCAGATGGGGAAGCGGTGTTGCAAGGCTTCGGCTTTGGCTCCTTTGTGCTTAATGTGGTTGTTGTGGTTGGAGCGGAATTTGCGTGTTTTCCAGGGTGTGGTACGTTCAGCATCTTGCTTAGAAGACAGGTTTTTGTGAGTGCTGTGTGGCTGGGAGACAGGGAGTGTGAATCCTGATTTGTTTACCATTTTAGATTTCCTTGATGACATGATTGGCTAGCTGTTTCTGTTTTTTGGGGTTCCTGTATGTCTATATTCTGTAGCATGTTCTTGATGCTTTTTTTTTTCAATAAATTTTATTTATCAGAAAAAAAAAAGAAAAAAAAGCTTTTGGAAGGAGCAAAACTTATTTCTAATCCACAATAAAAGTCTTAGAGAAGCGTATAAGTTGCATAAACTTAAGTTTCATGGATCTCAACTTGCTCTTAGATATGATGCAATTCATGACAATGGTTGTGCTTTTGTGAAACCATTTTGTAATTCTCGATTGAATACAACTAATCATTTTACTTTTTTTTTTTTGTTTGAACAGAGCAAATCGTTTTACTTGTTCTGTGATTTACTTAATTTCAATTCTATTTTGATTGGCCTATTTTGGTTCTAGCTATTATATCTGTTTAATTTTCTCATGGATGTTTTTGGTTACATAATCATTTCCAATCAAGTTGGCTTTCTAAACTTTATGTTCTTCACTCAAGAAGCCATATCCCAATTGCTTACAGCAGCTAACACATCCTTCTGTTCACAGTTATGTTCTATTTTGGGCCATATCTTTTAGTTAAATCACAGACCATATGTAATTTCTGACAGTTAGGATCCGGATTTTTTTTTTTCCTTCTAAATGTTTGTTATTAATAATGTGCAGCTGTGTTCCTTTGTACAACTTTAGTTATATATACAACAATCTGATGGCTTCTCCAAGGAGTTTTGTTGACAGGTAGATCGATTGCTTTAGTTATTGATTTGGCTGTCACTAATTTTTCCATGGATTATACAGTAACTTTACAATTTGACCTATTTGTGTAGCATTTTTGTGTTGTAGCTTTCTTGATGAAAAGGAAGGCCGCTACAACCCTACAATGTCACCTGTTATACCGAAGAACAAGTGGCGTAAAGGATCACAGGTTAGGCATCTAGCCCTTGATTTAAATTTTCATCAAATTGAGTTTACAACCTATGTTACATGGACTTTGGCACAAATGTGGGGTGGGTGTGTATTTAAGTATCGAACCTCCTTAGACCCCAAATCATAGGATATAGATATACATATCCAAAAGTTGAGTAAACTTGGGTGGACTTGTCCTAAACATTTAAATGTATTGTGTATTTTAAATAGTCTAACACAAGATATTATTTAGGAATATACTTGAAATTGAATGGCATTTTAGGGAAAAAGGGGATTTCTATCTCATCCATGTGAGAGGTTATAAATTTGCATTTATTATCAAACAAGAGCTTCTTCTTTTTAAAATATGGTAACAAATTAGTGGATCCAAATGTCTATTTGGGTATAGGTTTTACACATATTTTATACATTTACGCTTGTCATATACGATGGACAAGAATAGATTAGGGGAACGGAAGAGTCGATGTAACACAGGCAAGAACATATATACTTGATAGAGCTTTTAAAGGTCATACTTAAATGCATTATGATGTGAACTCCAACCTACACATTCTATGTATGGGTTGGGTAAACCTTGAGTACCCAATCACTCGCAAACCACATGTATCAGTAAGCTTGGATGTTGCCCATGATGTACTTAAACAAATTATGGGAGTTATTTATAAATATTGAATTGGTTGGAGCATGTAGACCTTTTCTATTATTCCATTAAAGTTGAATTAATCCTTTTTTTTTTTTTTTTAAACAAGACTAGGAGTTGTAAATCAAGATATACAACAAATGATGAAGCCACTACAATGATGGTAAAGATAATGAAATGGCACCTATGAAGCATGGATATGGATATGGATATGGATATGGATATGGATGTGGGATAGATACGATATAATATGGATAATGACAATGTGATAAAACCTAAAAAAATAGGATATGTGTACGGCCAAGATAAGTTTGAAAAAAAATATTTTTACAAAATTATTTGTATTGTATTATACGGAAGTTCAAATAATTTGGTCCTAGTAATTTTCCTTTTCATACTTAAATGTGTTTTATGTGAAAGTATTATACTCAAGTTACCTTGTTTGTTTAATTGTTGAAATCTGATTTTACTATTATCATATTTTTATTTATGATTACTTTCTAAAAAGTATGGATATTGATATGGGATCATGTGTGACACATTTATAAGGATATGCCAATTGGATAAATATAGAAAAAGTATTAAAAAAAAGTTATTCTTGTATAAAAAGAATTTCTCAGTTATAGTTTCTGCAAATTTTCTCAGTTACTCGCACAAAAACTACGAAAGTTTTTAGTTATAGAAACAGCAAAATGTCTCAATTACGCACAAAGAACTTGTGAAATTTCTTGTTTCTTATTATTTTTGTACATAATTTCATATCGAATTTTGACAATGTTTGATAGATCTCGACGAATATATTAAAAAAATGTTAGTTTTGTGAAAATGAATGTGTACAATGGAAGTTATGACATTTTAAAGTTATGAAACAAAAAAATAATTGATTGGACAACTCAACAACGTAACATACGCTCTACTAATGGAAAACCAGTTTGAATTTCACTGAAAATTTAAAAACAAGACTTAACTATTGAAGACTATAATCAATTAATAGGACCTGCTGGGTTTAAAAAAAAAGAAAATTTTTTTTGATGGGACCTACTTTAACATAACATTAATCCATAAGACTTTTTCCAAAAAAACCCTTAAATTTTTTTTTTAAAAAAAAAAAAAATAAAATTTGTAGAATAAAAAATGCTTCGGTCACTTGGAGAACATCTATCCATCATTTAGACAAACATGAGCATCGAAACACATTGCAAGACTAAAACTCCAATTTGTTCGTGAATAGAGCTTTTTTTAAATAGATATTATGAGTTTTTTTATTCATACTTATTTTCTAATATATAGAATGTGAAAATGATTTCTTACTATTTTGATATAATAAATTATAAATGTATTTCTATCAAGAGTTATGGTTTTCATGTATAAAAAGATTAGTTTATTTATTTCCATGTCCTTCAAGACTTTTTTCCAAAAAAACCCTTAAATTTTTTTTAAAAAAAAAAATAAAATAAAATTTGTAGAATAAAAAATGCTTCGGTCACTTGGAGAACATCTATCCATCGTTTAGACAAACATGAGCATCGAAACACATTGCAAGACTAAAACTCCAATTTGTTCGTGAATAGAGCTTTTTCTAAATAGATATTATGAGTTTTTTTATTCATACTTATTTTCTAATATATAGAATGTGAAAATGATTTCTTACTATTTTGATATAATAAATTATAAATGTATTTCTATCAGGAGTTATGGTTTTCATGTATAAAAAGATAAGTTTATTTATTTCCATGTCCTTCCTGTGTTGTGTTGTGATATCCATGTGTTGGTGTGTCTGTAGCATGTTGCATTCATCCCGTGTCTGCATGTTCTTAGCGAAATCACTTTTGTTCTCTACCCTCATATGTGGGAATTGCTTGACTAACGCAGTAGTCAACACCTTTTGTAACTTTAAGTATGTAGTCTAGGGTATGAAAGTGAGTGCTTGTTCTCCTCTTCACAACCTAGATGGAGAATGCCATCTTATTCTTTTGCTCAGAAATTATTTTCAAGAAAGAGTTGTTACTCCTAAAAGTGGCCTTAACTTTTGGCACAAGGCCATGGTCTGTGGTTCCTAGGTTTGAGAATCAAATTATTTATTTATTTATTTATTTTTTGTGTGGCCAAAACAAGTATTATTTAATCCATCTGGTCATTGTTGTTGTAAATACTGTCATTAACTCATCGTTTTGTTAACAACGTAATTGTGGTTGTTTTTTTGGTAGGTGTAATTGTGGTTGCTGTTAGTGAAGAAAAAATATTATAACTTTTGAGGATATTATATATGTTTTCTTCTCTGACTTGAAATTGATTATGTACTTTCAGTGGGTTTCTTTAGTTCGGGGTCATGCAGAAATTGTTGTTGATGATGAGGTTATCTTTCCCGTCTTCAAGAAGTTTTGCAAGGTATATGACTAGGGCATTTTGTTCTTATGTCTCTATCATATTTTTGTGTGCAGTGATATCCTTTCTCTTTAAATGTGATTTCTCTAATGAAGTGACAATTATAAGTAAATCATGTGTAGCCCAGAAGAAGTAACTTGTGTGTATTCTTGCACTGTTGTATATTTGCATCTACACTTTGTATATCAAGTGGGACCTTCTTTTGGCTGTGGCGCTTGAAACCTTCAAATATGAAATTCTTTGTAATGTTTTTTGAGAGGTTAAATGAAAGGTGGGAATTACTAAAAATCGATCTCCATGTAAACTGTTGTATAAACCCCTGATTGTAAGTTTAAAAACTTCCGCTAATTACATATGATGACCATCCCAATGCAGAGGAGATCCCCCACCTGTAGGTATTAGTCCATGGGTGTTAATCTTGATGAGTAATCATTGTTCCATTAATTTGTGTCAGTTATATATTAATCTGCTTAATTGTTTATTTGCAGAGACGACCACCCCTAGATGCTAGCAAGGGAAAGCAAAATATTGTAAGTGATTTCTGTTCCTGGGTTAAATTTTTTTTAGTAGTTACTCTTAACTATGTAACAATTTATCCTTGTATTCGAAAGTTATTCCTTCATGTTATAATACTTGTTTAAGCTTAATATGAGAGTAATACGGTTGTTTGACCTGTTTTACATTTTCATAGGATTTTTGTGCCATCAAAGGTGTTTTGTTACATCTTTAATTGGCTTCTTTCTTCTCTAGAACTTGAAATTTAACCCTATATGTTATGGTTAAACTTGTCTCACATCATTTCTCTAAGCCACCCCAGCTTGGTTAATATACTCAAGAAGCCACTTCACTCATAGCCAATTGGTTTTGAATTGGATACTTCTAACAGTTAACACCCAACTCTTGACAAGGCCAGCAAGCATCATTTAAAATGGTCAATGCGTTATGACGTTTGTAAGCCATTGGTGAGGAGTGACATGGTTCAGGTTGAAAAGTGTTACTCAGGGCAGGGTCACCCACTTGGTTGAGGTAGTGGGGAAAAGAAGTCTTTATTTATGTTTTAGAGGATGGGATGGTCACAGGATGGAATGGAAATATAGGATTCATTACCCAACCTTGATTTAATTGGGTAAATGCTTTGTTAAGCTGAGTTAATATAAACTCCGCATGTTCGAGTTGGGAGGTTTTTGATAAGTTTATATTCAAGTTGGGAGTTAAGCTTGTATATTTGATTCATTTGCATCAGTGTGGGATTTTGTTGCATATGTATTGAATGTATGATGGTTTTCTCATAGCTACACAATTTAATTTTTTTTTTCTCTGAAGGAAATTTGTTTGAAACTATAATGTCTCAAGGAAGTGTGTCAAACCAATACCACCAATGATTTACTGTTAGAATTGAGGCAATATTGAAATTCACGACCTTTTGTTCTATTTACTATCCTTATAACGTTCATTTAGAAATTGGGGAAAGAGGTAAGAGATGACGGTTTCTGTCTATTGAAGGAGGGAAATCTTGATCAGTCAAAACATCTAATGTTTACCCCGGGAAATTCGTATGTTGTAGATGAATCACTCCCCATTTTTTCTCTTTGTTTTTTAATTTTAGGTACTTTGAACTGTCCTTAACACGTCCCTTTTGCCAACGAGATTCTGATTATAGCTTATATACTGAATGCAGAAACTCCAGAAGCAGCACAACTGTATCCCTGATGAGCACTATGTTCAGACGTTACTAGCAGTAAGAAATAGATTCATGTTTGCTCTGTCCATTTTTCATTATTATTCTTTGATTGGTTTAATATTGTTGATTGTTTTTCGTTAGGAAAGAAAATTATTGAGCCAAGCCAAGCATTCTAATTTTCAGGCTTGGTAAAATTTAGAGCTCTCAAGCTTTGGCTTGACCTTGATTCCAAGCTCATTGTGGCATTTTCAAGCTTGGCTCAATTGATTCCAAGATCATTGGATGCTTACATGAAATACCATATTAAAACAAGTATGATATAGTTTACACGGAACAGTATTTATCTTTTGGAGTTTAGTTTATATATCCCTGTCGTCCAGAAGCCTAGATGAGCTGATTTGGGTATATTTTAGTCTCCACTTTCTTTGTCAAACAAGCTTGAACATGTGGCTTAAGCTTGGTTCATTAATCCACCCTTGTTCCCCCTTTGGTTAAGTATAATGATTGAGCTCAATGAGCCCTTAATCTAGTCAAGCTCAAACTATTCATAAACAACTCAGTTGCTTGTGGCATTGTTGACGAGGTTAATTTATGATCCTCCTCTTTTCTTTTTTTTACCCCATTAATAAATCATGTTGTTTTATTCAATTTTCTTTTCTGAGTAATGCTTGCCACTAGGATCAGTATTTCTGATTGGGAATCACATTTTGTTTTAACTGTTCTTTGTTCTTTTGTTAGATGAGTGATCTTGAAGGTGAACTTGAACGAAGAACGGTGACCTACACCTTATGGAACCATTCTGCAACGAATATGGAAAGAAAAGGTTGGCATCCTATTACATTTAGCTACGCAAATGCTAGCCCTCAACAAATCAAAAGAATAAAGGTGATTGTAATAGCATCTCCCCTGACTTCTTCTACATACTGATAGTTACTATTATTTATTTATCTTTTCACTTTGCAAACCATTGTCTTATTCTGTTATGCACATTCAGATAATGATAAATGGCACTTGGACCTATGTCCTTGTTAATGCTCTAGAAACTTGTAGGGGAAACTTGTGTAATAAAATAAAACATTTATTGGCACTGTATTAGCGTAGTGTATATACGAGTGATCTAATCCATGTTCTAACCAAGGAGTCTGGTATGCCTGAATCAAACTTGAATTGCCCATAATTTTTGTTGATATTCTTTACTTGATTTAGCAATGGTGTAATTTGCATTTGTATCTTCTTGAATTTCCATTCTCTGGCCCTTTAACTATTCATGTTCAATCTCACAGGATATCACTCAGGTGTACTATGAAACCGAGCAGCGCACAGAGTGGTGCAGTAATAATTCTACACGCGTTCCATGTTTTTTATTTGGGAGGAAGTTCTCTAAAGGAGCTGCTGTGCGTCTTGTGAGTGAAGGAGTGGTCGGCCCTTTTAATGCCTCTGTATTATTGGAAACACCACTGTGATTTCCCTCAGTGCTCTGACCGTCCGTGTTTTAACAGCTCATCTAACCATCAACCTAGTTTGCTCGGTATACAATTTTGACACAGAGAGAGAGAGAGAGAGAGAGAGAGTATGAATCCCCTCCCCAAGGGTATTAGTAATACCAAGGTATTAGTAGTACCCTCCCTATCTCTCAAAACAAATGTTTGTTTGGGTGGACATGAGCTTGGGATTGGACTAATAGTCCAATAAAATTATTAATCCAATGTTTGGTTAAACAATTGAAGTACGGATTAATTATTTTAAACTTGACTATTAGTTAAGATAGGATACATAATCCAATGGATTCGTAATCTTAGGACTATTAGTCATGGGAATTCTAATCCAGTCCGCCCAAACAAACATGGCCTTAGTGTACTAATAGGTGATGTGGCATCATTTTAGAGGTTTTGGACATTTGTAACATGTATAATAAATGTGATCAGTAATAATGTCATAATATTAGTTGGTACACTAGTTAGTATATTAATTGGTGCATGTAGCACCATCAATAAGCGGATAGAGAGGAATGCAGTTTGGAAGAGAGATTGTTGGAAGTTAAAGGGCATAAGGTACTCTGGCCACCTGAGTTCTTCTGAGTTGTAATCATGAAATTGAAATGTTTAATTATTTTTCTAAATGAGGGAAGTGTGTCTCTTCTTCCATGCATAATCTAGCAAGACTCAATTGTTGGGGGTGATTTCCTTTGATTAGTAGTATATATTTTCGCCCTACTCATGATTTTTTTTAAAGAAATTAATATTTTTTGTTATAATCAAATGTGATTTCCTTTGATTAGTAGTATATATCTTCACCGTACTCATGATTTTTTTTTTTAAAGAAATTAATATTTTTTGTTATGATTAAATATAACGAATATGTGCAACAGGCGTACTTGTGAGTGTTGTAGGTATTTTTTATGGCTAGTTCATGTTTAGTTATATTCTTTGGGTAAGAGCCCTAATTAACATTAACATTTGATTGCATATTATTTTTGATAGAAAGTTAAACGTGTTGGATAACTTGATAAATATTGGATTGTAATAGATTAAACTTTTGAAAAAAATTAGTGATTTAAAATGGTATCAGAGTTTAGATTGAGAGATCTTTGGTTCAAGTCTCTTTGTTGGTATTTGGTATTTTCTCCCCGTTTGGTTGCATTTCTGTTTGATCCTCTGTTTGTATCATTTGATTGGTTTGGTGCTTGTTAGTAAAAATTATGTTAAGCCTTGATCAACAGAGGCAAGCAATAATATAAACAAACAATCAAACTAAAGAGATCAAACAACTGTGTAATTGTAATTGATTCAAATGTCTCAAAAGAAGCTTTCTCATATTCATATCGATCAAGGCTTTCCTTGAGTTTTCAATAAGGGACGCGTTAGCACTCCTGCAGGAAAACGGCCTAGCTAACGTGCGCCTTTACGTTTTCTTCGCTTGCTTTGCAGTAGGAGCCTCATACAGAGCCGCGCGCCCTTTAATATGATGAGAAGAAGAGGGGCCGCCCTCTTTTCTTTTCTGCACCAATCCTTATTTACTACTACATCTTTTTTGGGGTGTATAGTTCAATTGGTAGAGAATTGGGCTTTTAACCTAATGGTCGCAGGTTCAAGTCCTGCTATACCCAAACCTACCTTACACTCTACTGTGCGTAAGGACGCGTAGTAGCGTTCAAAGATCACTCTTTGGCCTTTAGACTCGTTTCAGTGACTTCGCCCTTTAAATGACAAGGGGGGTGAGCCGCTCTAAGCTGAAAGCGATAGCGAATCCCGAACTTGCCCACACTCATTTTCTGGAATAATTGACAGTTACAAAGTAAACAATAGATAATTTCAAAGTGAAACTATCGAAATTCACAAAGTCACAACTTACAAACTATTGAACAAACTACTCCTAATCTAAGTGAGACTACTCCTAAGATAAAAGCTAAGTTGTTATTGTGTTGTTGATGTCCTCTCTTTCTGCAAATCTCTAGCTTTTATATCTTCTCCTTAAAACTTTGGCCCATAGCTCTATTTTCTTGAAAACCTACATGCATAACTTCCAAACTGCTATTGCACTTGCCTCATCACTTTCAAGCCTTCAAACTTCACCAAATCTTCAAATCTTCCTGTCGAACTAACTCTCCTACATCTTGCCATGAGTCTCTCAATACTTTGAGCACTACATTGACAAAACACAGCCTCTTATTCTGCATATATTCTCTTCTGAAAATGACCCACTAAGTTCACAACTTTGTTTGATTACTACTTCATAACTACCTCAACTATTTTATATCCATGATCATTTCCTTCATGCCACCTAGCCCTTCAAATGTTGAATAACTCCACTTTGACTCTATTGCCACATGTCATCATTCAATTAATCCACCTGTTGACAGGAAATTTTACAAAAATGGGTACAAACAATGCCTTCCTTATTTAAGTTAAATAAATAAGAATGAGTTTAACTTAAACAAATTCATCACCGGACCTAAATAAATAATATACTTTTAATTTGAACGAATTCAAACACTGGGCCCAACACAAGCTATGAAAGCTCAAACCTTTCGACTTCACTTCACTTCAACGCCACCCTCTTTCTTTTGAAATTCTCATACCAGGAAACCAAGCAACTCAAAACTTCAAACCATGGCTCCCAAGAAGCCGAAATCAAAGAAAGTAGATGAAACAAGTGATGAATACCTTCGATTTCCTCAAACGATTAGAGAAATCACCAATTCTCTAAAGTTGGACATAACTATGATTCCCAACACCACAATAGTAGCCAAAGGAACCCGTAGGACCTCCTTTATGTCCTATTTTCCACATGAATTAGCTCTATATTACCTAATTGCAACTGGTGAAACCCTACTCCTTAATCAATCAAAACTCAATTGGGTGAATTGGGAGAGCAGCAAAAACCCTCTTTGATTATGGCGGCAACCAGACTCCACTTGGCAAAACTGAGTCAAACGAATTGAAGCCCATGACTCAAATGTATAGACATATATAGGCATTCGTGAGCTAATTTGACTGTTGACCCACAAATTTGACATGAACAAATGGTTAATAACAGCTGCTACTTGCTTTTGGTCTCATTCTTGTAACTTAATGCTTCTTAGATTAGAATAATATCTCTAACCATTCTAGATGTAGCCCATTTAACTGGACTTCCAATTCTAGGGTTAGAAATCAGTGCCTTACTAGAACCTCCACCAATGACATTCGCTCTTAACACTGATATGAGCTACACTAATTTTATCAAGAAATATAAAGGCAAAAGAAACACACATGTTGAAGACCATGAAAGCGTTGCTTTTTACCTTGTTTGGCTTTGCCAATGCCTATTTTGTGTCCCTGGCTTCAAGATCACCAAAGAATACCTTCTATTGGCTTTATGCCTCCAAGATGGTCAAGCCCTGTCCTTTGCTTCCTACTTACTAGCCATGCTTTACAAGGGCATGTTTTCCTTGGTAGACAAGAAAATATTATCCAACTATGGTGGACACTTCTGGCTTTTTAATTTTCTTTCAATCTTGCAGCCAATCCAACCTTCATGGTGCTTCTTTCTACTATTGAAATCCCATCAAGAGACAAAAACAAAGCCAAATAACCAATGGATCCAACTGCCAAGAAGAGTGTACCTTCAATTGTGCGAAAGCTCATGGGAAACTCAATTAAAACTCTCCAAGAACAAGAACAAAAGAAGAAAAAGGCAACTTAAACAACATCAAGGGAAATAAGATCAAAGAAAATGCAAGAACCTCCCATGCTTTAGAAAGATTTTAATCCCACGTTTAGTGAATGAGACAATCCGTTGAGTCAAATGTTTGGACAAATAGTCCATAACTCCTCCAGACCAAATATATAAGGTACAATTCTTCACCTTATGCTAATGTACCTCCCAGAATTATTATATAACTAATTGTGGGATGCTTTTTGGGGTTACCAAGTGTGCCTAACAATTCAGACTCCCAATTTCCGATCTGATATAACTAGTGCGATGTGAAACATAAAATTAGAGTCCAAATCCGACAACTTTTATAGAAAATCCATTTTTATTGCAAAATATTGCCAGAAATGGACTTTATCACCAGATTTCAGAGTCACCACATAATCTTTTGGGGAAATTAGGAAACCCGTGACTCGTACCAAAGGCCACTATCCTTCATAGTCAAAGTGTCTTGGCTCAGGAACATAGGTATGAGAGGGGGATGTCATTAATTGAACACCCCACTCACCCGATCAAAGATTGGCCTCTACTAAGTCATAATGTGGCTTTTATAATCAATGTAAATCCATATTCTGATTATTAATAATGCTATCATTACTATTTGAGGCATTCAAATATAGATTATGTCGTAAATTTTGGTTATGCTCTAACTTCATGCATTTTGAAAGAATTTTTCTTGGATAAAATCTACAGTATAAGTATCATCTACACTCCAAAATACATACCACAGCCTCCATCAACTAGCATTCAAACAGATATCTTACTTAAGTACTTAGCCTCATGTTATATCAACAGATATGGTAAGGAACACGCACATGTAATATGCTAAAGCTCAAAATGCTCACCTAGTACTCAAAGTCAAGTCATGATATATACAGATATGTACAAATATGCTTGAACCTATATGCAAGTTTCTAATGCAATACACACAGAACATGTACCTAGGAATTTGAATGATAAAATGTTGCATGAATACCACCATGACATATTCATTTTTGAAGATAACACATCATATTAATGTGGATGATTCGGGTCCCAATGCATGAAAAAGTGGATGCAATCTACAAGCATGATAAAGCAAACATGATGTAATACTAAAAGTGGATAACTAAAAGGGTTAGAAAGACGTGGGGTTGGAAGTTTATTACAACAATTCAAATGAGAAAAGGGAGAGAGAGAGAGAGGGGGATTATTACAATAATGAATCGATTCAGCTTAGCTACTGCTGAATCTAACAAATCCTACTAAACAAAAGCAAAGAACCAATCCAGGGGCCCTAGAACTGCTCAGGGGAGCATTCCTTAGGAACTGCCTGTTCTGTTCTTTGGGAAAATGATCGGCTAGACATTAGTTTAGCCGGCTGAATTTCCTTT